GAAAACAAGAAATAAACAGAAAACTGGAACCCAGAGCTACAGATTATACAAAAGTGCCTCAAGTTCAAACCGTCTGTCAGTGTAAACCGAGCTGTTTCAACATCTTGGAGCTGTTTTGAGTATGAAACGGTTCAAATTCTAAACGCTTTGCCCCCGCCTAAGAGCATCGCTTTGCAAAGATGGAAGCGGACACACTTTGCCCGGACAGAGCTGAAAAGTCAGGGGAGAGACTATAGCTCAGTTTTGTGCATGGGGACGTCAAGGTTTAAGGCGAAAAGGTTCCGCCAACAGATCAGGGAGTGGTCCCTCCCTGCCGGGGGCCTGCCAAATGCCACCTCTCCCAGAGTTGCCAGGAGAAAGCCTCGGGCCCAGGGGAGCTGCCTTACCTGCAAGATGTCTCGGTGCCGTTGCAAGGTATGCATCAGAGCTGCATTGAGGGAAGGGACGCCGGCGCTGTTGGTGTACTCAGCCATTTTGTCATTTACCCCGGTGAGCTGCAACAGAGAGTACAAGCGGGTTAATGCCCTTCGGGACAAGGATCGCAGGGACTTGGAAGGAGCAATTCAATAAGCAGCAAACTTCATAGCACCCCTCAAAGGTACTGAGAGTTAACAGTGCAGGCTTGCTTCTCCATACAAACAACAGTGCGGCACCTCCCCTCTCCCTGCCTTTGCAACATTTGCTGTTGCACCAGCTCATTGGTACTCTGGTGTCTTGACTTAAACTGTGCATTATACAACACAGAACATTTCTGATTTATAGGCAGTCCTCGCTTAGCGACCACAATTGGGACCAGCAACTCCATCGCTAAGCGCCACAGTCACTAAGCAGAAAATCATGTGACTGCGCCAGACTTATGTCACTTCTGTTGCAGTCATTAAGCAAATCACTGCAGGTTGTTAAGCACAATATCACATGACCGCAACCTGCAATTTTACTTCTGCGTTCTCCATTAACTCTGCTTGCTGGAAGCTGGCTGTGAAGCACGCAAATGGCGATCACGTGATCAGGGATGCTGCAAGAGTCATAAATGTGAGGATTGGTCACAACACTTTTTTTTTTTTTTAAACGGTTAACTTTGGTCACTAAACAAGGCAATCAGTAAGTGAGGACTACTTGCACTTGAAGGTGGGGTGCTTGTGGGAGATGAGGCATGGTCAAAAGCCTAGTCACTTGTATAGTGAGATGGGCAGCGTATAAATCTGATTTATAAATAAAATAAAATAAAGCCATCAAGATGGCTGCCACAACCATCCAGTTGAAAGCCCTATCCTTTTTTTGTGTGTTGTGAGAGTTCTAGATGGGGGGGGGCATTTCACATGGCCTTCAACTTTGGGGGTGCCTCGGGATTCCCTCTTGCCCCCTTTTTCCTCTGTACCCAGATGCAGCTGCTGGAGATCATGCAGGCGTGGGCCGCAACACCCCCAATAAGCAAATGGCAAATAGCTCTTCCTCTTTCCCGCCTATGAATTCTGGAGAACGGAGAGGAGCACATTGTAGCTCACGCTGGGGAAGAACCAAGAGAACAGGCAGAGGTATTGTGAGCAGCAAAACTGGCTGAGCCAGGTGGAACAGCAATGCCAGCCTCTGATGAGGTTCCATTCCTCTTGAAAGACCATGTTCGGCTGTCAGAGTTAAGGAACGTGGGATATGGCTGTCCGGATGCTTCAGGTTTTTCTCTTTGTGTTTTCTGTCTTTGTAGACTATTAACTGCCCAGGGTCAGGCAGCCTCTAAATCCAAAGAGCGTCATCTGACAGGACCCAGGAGGAGGGCCTTCTCTGCTGCTGCACCCACCCTATGGAACATCATTCCCCGAGGTCAGGCTGGCCCTGACTTTGAGGGCCTGAAGACCTGGCTTTGCCATCTGACCAGAGAGCGGTATGAAGCCCATAAAATGGCTGTGTGGTTCTTGATCATCAGGTAGTCAAGATAAAACAGAGCATTAAAAAAAAAAAGATAAAAGATTCAGAACAACAATATAAAGGGCAGTAAAGACAAAGTAATACAAATAGCCATACAATTGCAAAGTCTAAAAAAACTGGAAGTTTGTGGGATTTTTCACATGTTGGGGCCTTGCCCTGGGGTCAAAAAGACCATAATGTTGGACCCAGCCGAGCCTCGTGGGGCAAGGCATCCAACAGATGGAGCAGCACCATCAGAACTGTACCTGGTGACCCCTGCCCTGCCTGGCCTCACTGGACAGAAATATCTGGAAACAGGTCACAAGAGACCCTGGAGGGTTTAGATGGGAAAACAGGGCAGAGGATCCTGATTTGATTACCAGCGAAATTCAAGTGAGCTGGTATCTTAAACTAACTGGCAGCCCCTGGCATAATTCAACAGCACTTTTGCCAAGCTGAGAATAGCTGGAGAAAGCTGCAGGTGCTTCTGCATAAATGAAACTCGCTTTGGATTACTTTGAGGTGCCAAATGCCTTGTTGCAACCCCCTTTTTCCCAACCGCTCCAGCCATTCATTTAAAAAACCCTTCAGCGTTTCAGCAGGAGTCAGAGCTGGCCTCAGCGACATGTCACTCACCTTCCCTAAGAGTTGCTCAATTTCCACAGCCATTGCTTCAAACATCCGGTCTTGGCTCGACCCATTCAGGAGAGGGGTTGTGTCCGAGCTGAGCAATGAACAACACAGAGGTAGTGTTCCATTAAATTTTAACACATGGCAGGAAACACTCTTAATTTTAAAAAATCATATAAACTAGGAGGTCCTAAGGTTGATGGCCAGGAGTTAGGCATACCCAACAGAGCTGGGAACTACATCTCAGTTTCAGATATCAGTAACATCCATCTTGGATGACGAGCCATTTTTGGAAATTCAAGTGCCTTTCAGACCAATGGAAAATGAGAAGCAGAGTGCCCCCTCACAACTCCACACAGAGAAGGATCCCTGAGTTTTCTCTTATAAGGCAGCTTAGACAGTCCACCCACCTTGCTATCTACTTCTGCCCTGCCCTGGGAGACTGGAGGTGGTGGTTAAAGTGTTGGACTGGCACAAGGGAGTCCCACATTCAAACATCCATTTGACCATAGAGCTACCTGGGTGACTTAGAGTAGACCTTCTCTCTCTCAGCCCAGTCTATCTTACAAGGCTTGTGGAGAAAAATGCTCACCCAAGCAGCCTTTGGCACTCAAGGAAAAACAAAAAAAAGAACACAAATGCAATAAATACATCTCCGAACAATTCATCCACATTTCAATTATTCAAACTTGCTGGAGGTTCAGGCCAACCCTGGAGAGCGCATGCTTCCAAACATTTGTAAAATTTAATACATTTAAATAAATAAAAATAGTAGACTAGAGGCTGTAAATATAGGTCTGGATTGAGGAAAGGCTGACACTTCCAAGATCGTACTTGCTCTTCAGGGTTAGCTATTCGAACGTTCTAAGAATTTCCCAAGTGAGACTCACTCAATCCTGAAATTTAAAAAGTACAGCCAAACTTCCCGAAGCACAAAACTAAAGCAAACAAAGAAAGCTTGGATTTGGGAGTGAAAAAAACACGTTCACAAGTGCAACGAAAATCAAAAGAAGTAGCAGCATGATAGTACCTATACCTGTCGCGCCTTCCGTCTCGGGAGCCGCCATGGCTGTAGCTGGTGCACAACTTGCTGAAGGAGACCAGCTTGAGGTCCAGTTCATTTTCCAGCTGCCGGGCCTGCTTCCTTAGGTCTGCAGAAAGAGCACAGAGGGGAACAAAATGATGCTTCTTCCATCCTTTCAACTCTCCAGGTTCAAAAACAACGTGGCTGAAACCACTTCCGGAGATTCTAAACAGTTAAATGGCTGTTTATGGCTCATCACAGATCATCGACATGAAGACGTTCTTCTCTAGGAATACAGAAGTCTTAATTCTGTGGCAGATTTTTCATGCTTTTCATCTTTTTCCCAGGTTCAAATCTTCGGTTGTCCTAGTAAAAAGGTAGAGCTGCTAGATGCCTGCTTTGGGACAGAAGGATTCAAGTTCAGCTTCACCAGGCAAGGCTGGAGAAATCCACTGTGTGAAGGACTGGAGAGACATGGTAAATCACAGCAGCAGAAGACATTAATTTTTTCAAACTAGGGCATCATCTCTTACTATTTAGATATCTTCCAGCACACAAGGGGGATGGTTGGGCTGGCTATAAGGGAATTTCCATTTCCCTCCTTTTTCTTAATGTTATGGCGCTGATTATAGACAGTGCTT